GCAACAGGAGAGTCACCCTTCACCTTCATCTTGGATGACCCTGCTGGAAACAGCTTTATTGAGAACCCGTAAGAGGAAAAATTATAATTGGCGCTATTTTAATATTTTTTTCCTTATGGACTTATGCTTTTTTCATGATGGGTGGTTGAAATGTAAAGCAGTTGCTTCCATATGAAAGATTAGTGTTTGTCCCAAGGACAAGAATTAAAGTTTAACTAAAAGAAATTTGAATTATAAATTGGGTTATTCTAGCTTACATTAGAATATCATAATGTCATCAGGTTTGCTCCATCTCCTGATCCATCATTGAGCATTAGATTCTATGATCGAACACCTGAACAACAAGCATCATTGGGATATCTTGTAGACACATTGCAGTCGAATGTGCCTGAAGCATCTATGAGAGAAACAAACAATGATGTTGATCAAATAAGAAGACAACCACATGGATCAGTTGGAGCGGCAGCTGGTCAAAAGGCCATTGCTCAGAGTAATAGTGCTGAAATTGCTGAGGCCTTATTCCGATATTCTGCACCTGAAGAGGTAAGCCACTTTCAACTATTAAATTATACAGATTCTTTTGGAGAAATAAAAGAACTAAATTAACAAGAGTGAGGTGAAGAAAAGTGATTTTTAAGTTAAGTGCATTTACCTGTTGTTGTTTGAATCCCCCCCACCCCCACCCCCTCCCCCAACACACACACACAACAAAAAAAGGAAACAAAGGAAGATAGATATAGAGAGAGAGATTGGCAATGGCAATGCAATGGAAATTTATCCTCTTCCCCTGCTTCTTTCCTAATGTTGCTATCTTCATTAAGAAAAAAGAAAAAATGCAAAGAAAACTGTCTAAAACTGTCTTAAATTCCCTTTATGCCTATTTTTTTGTTACTTGTTTCTTGCCTTCAAATAGGTGATGACTTTCCCATCAACTTGTGGAGCCTGTGCAGCTAGGTGTGAGACTCGGATGTATGTAACCAGTATCCTCCATATTGTCATGGTTTGTACCTTGAGCAATACAACATTTCTGCTTCATGGTTAGATCCAGCTTTAGGGCTATGCATGATGAGCATCTGATTTTGAGTAAAAATGCATAGTTATTTTTTCATCGTGATTTCCTTTTTCAGTTTGCCCATATGAAGTATGTAAGTTATAGATGTTTTGAATGTTGATATGTTGTTTTACTGCGGCAATTGTAGAACGCCAAGTGTAAGGTGAAGCAGATTCTAATGGTTTTTCATGAGTTAAATTTATTGTTAACATGAGTGCTGGTCTTTCTTATTGAGATGGAAGGTTAATTGCATCTTAGATATATGTTATGCAATTACAATTTACTGATGCATATATCTTAGTTTTTGGTCAATACAAATACATATACTACTCACCTGCGCAGATTCCTTTGCCTGTCAATTGCTCAGTTACAGATCTAGCAATATTGTTGCAAGACCTTTTTATCTGAATTACGTGTCGCCACATCATGCTATCCTGTGAAGTTTACCAATAATTTTTTGTTGAGCTTAACCACATACAGGGATTCCATATTTTCAAGAAGTTATTGTCATGGCATCCACATGTGACACTTGTGGCTACCGAAATTCTGAGGTTGGTGGTGATTTTTCTTCAACTGCACTTTTATTCCCCTATAAAAAAAGTTTGTGGTTACTAAGCATGCTTACCTTGCAGTTAAAGCCTGGTGGACCAATTCCTGAGAAGGGAAAGAAAATAACCCTGTGTGTGAAAAACATCAGTGATTTAAGCCGTGATGTTATAAAGGTTTGTTCTGATAAGTATCATTCTTCTTAGATGCATTGCAATAGTCACTAGGTTCTCAGCTGAATGCTACATTAGCAACTCTTCTGGTGTTTGTTTGCATAAGTTAACTCTTTACAATAACCTAGACTGATTTTTGTTTGTTTTATTTTCTTTTCCTTTTTTTTTTTGCAATAGGACGCAATTTTACAAGATAAATATAGTGCATTTGTTTGAAATAGTGACTAGTTTTTAATTGAATGGTTTTTAAATAGTGCATTTGTTTGAAATAGTGACTAGTTTTTAATTGAATGGTTTTAAGATCCTTGGTGTAATTTGCAGAGGTAAATTTACTAAGCTATATTTTGACTGAAGCAGACTTCTGTCTGGGAAGGGTGTCGTACGAATTTGTATTTTAGATGTAGGCTTCAGGATTCTATTGGCTGTGAATCATGTTTCCCGAGGAAGGGGTGAAATGTGGGCCTAATCCTTGAGGGTTTGTGGTTATTTGATATTGGAAAGCTAGGTAGGTTGACTTTAAGACAATTTTCTTATATGAATATGGAAAGGGAAAAGAAAATAAACTCTCTGTAAGGATCCTTGATTCCAGCGCACAATCGATAGAAAAAAAGGAAGTATAAGCTTCACAATAGTGTGTCAGGAATCACTCATAGATCCCCATATTGCCATATATTGGCCGTAAGGAAATATATTTTCACAAGTGTAACACGTTCTATCAATGCATATTTTGGTCATTACTTTAGCTTGTAATTTAGCAGTTTAACTTAACATTGCATCCCATTCTTGTCATCATAAGTTTCTAGCAGTGTCAACTTGTCAGCTTACATGTACCAAACATTTCATGGGAATGAAACATATTTTTATCATAATTTTTTCTAGACTAATTGTAAGTTATCTAACAATCAGTTTTGTAAGTGCATCAGTCAGATACTGCGAGCGTAAAAGTCCCAGAACTAGAGTTGGAGCTAGCTAGTGGCACACTCGGTGGGATAGTTACGACAGTTGAAGGTCTTATTACAAAAATTAGTGAAAGTGAGTACTGCTTGACTCATTTATTTTCTTCATGCAAATTTTATGTTTGCTTGTTGATTGTGTTACATATAGTCATCTTCCATTATTTGCCGAGTGTTACTCCAGAATGGTTATCTTCTTATCCCGGTTTGATATCTACCAGAATTGAGAGAGGCTAGATTTTCAGTCTGCTTCCTGGGTTTGCTATTTATAGTCCTCGTCCACCATTGTTTACTAAGTTTGATACTTCACCCTGATTTATCTACTTACTACATACAGCTTAACCTTCTATTTCTTCACTTTGCTGGAACTTTTACTTCAATTTTTTGATTTGATGTCCTTGGCAAAGTATTACAATCTTGTTTCTGCTGTTTGCATGTGTTTGATGAGAAATTGCATGGATAAGGCTTTAATTGTGCATATCCTGCTTGTTAATTTGTAATATCCATGATCTCCATGTGCAGGCCTTGAGAGAGTGCATGGATTTACTTTCGGGGATAGCCTTGATGAATCTAAGAAAAACAAATGGCTAGACTTCAAAGCAAGTTTGAACAAGGTACTGTATGAACACTGCCTCTGTTGTAAATTATCATTAATGTGCTTTGAATGCCAGTCCTTTTCAGGTCTACCAGTATGTGTGCCATTTCAAGGTCCTGTTAGGTCTTTCCTAGTATCACTTTCACTTAAAAACACATGATTCACATGTTTGTTCTTGTGTTTTGGTTTCATGCGCATTGAAGGATACGGGGAATATATTTCACCCATTAGTCCTTGACACTTCTATTTCTTGAAGAATGAGATAAATACCAAATGACCTTTAAAGTGAAGAATGAAAATCTTAGCTTTCTCCTCACAGATGTCTTCTCGCTATTTTGCAGATTCTGAGCATGTCAGAACCTTGGACTTTAATTCTTGATGATGCATTAGCCAACTCTTTCATTGCACCCGCAACTGATGATATTAAAGATGACCATCAGTTAATTTGTAAGTTCTCTAATCATGACAAAAAAGGGATGTCCCTATTGACCTTTTTCTTGAATAATTTTTTGTTGGACGACAATGGGCTGGACCTGAACTCTGAAGGCCATATTGGTTAATTTCTGGCCATGTATTGATCATTCTGATTGCCTTTGCATTCTGTATTATGCATTTTAGGAAGGAAATCATTGTGTTTGTATAATGAAGACGATTAAATCGTGAACATATGGAAAAAGAAAATCACCTCGTATTCAATTGTGATAGGTCAGAAACCATAAAAGGTCTCAATTTCTTTGGCACTTTACCCGGGCCCTTCCTTATTGATATTTCTATATTACTCAAAACTCAGAGATTAGTGTTTGGTATATGCATACATCCGATATGGGCATCGTCAAATTTTTTGAGTTTTTCCAAATATCAGGGCGCTCATATCCTGATATGCATGTCTGAACACATTATAGAAATGGATTCTTCATGGAAAATAAGAGTTTGGAGTAAAATAAGGAACTAATGGGGAAGATAAGGGAGGTTATGAAATGAATTCCGGGCCCTATGCTTCAATTATGGTTCTCTTCATGTTTTTATCATCATGGATTATCTGGTTCGTTTCTAAAGAACTTCTATTGTTGTGTGCAGTTGAGGAATATGAGAGATCATGGGAACAAAACGAAGAATTGGGTCTGAATGACATTGACACCACTTCGGCTGATGCTGCATACGATGAAAACACGAGCGGATAAATATACTACAAATGATATGCATCTGAGAGCAAACTTCGGGTCACTTGTTCCCTTATTCAACGAATCGAACATGACAGATGACAAAATGAGTGTTGTGTAAAAACTATCCAATCTAGCTGCGGGAATGAAACAGTGTGTTCAAAAGCATTGTCTTACGTGACTAAATTACAGAATTTGGTTTGTTTTAATGTTATTGCTTCGTCATTCATATATTTTTCAGATGATTTTGGATTCTATAATTTAAATTTTCCCTATTAAGGCCTTACTATTATTGCCAAGCATATGATCACATACGCCAAGTAGAATTCAAGGCAATGCCGGAATGTTCTATTTTATTTTTTTATTTTTTTATTCTTTTCGTCGTAAGATTAAAAGCTCTGTAGATGCTCATTCTTCGTTATTGAACAAGGAATGCCTGGAATGAATGGAAATTTTACAAATTTGCTTATAGAATTCAATAGTAGTACAAATTTTTTTCATTTTCAAAACGAGTGATCTAAATACCAAACTATTCAGATGGTGGTGAGGAGCCATCCACAGGTTTTCCTTTCTCCCTCAGTTTGGCAACCTCTTGTTTCATTGCTTCCTTCCGCTTCTTGCTAGCTAATACTTTCGCCTGGACACCACTCACACTGGGGTCTTTCTTCTCTGCTGGCGGCGGTGGCGGCGGCCTTCTAGCTGCTGCATTGGCTTGTTTCTGGTCACCAACACTGAATCCCAACAACGCCCCCACCAAGCCCAATGTCAGGGTCCTGCACCAACGACCCAATATCATCATTCGCATCAAACCTAGGAAGTAGTAGTTAATGGGGTTTCACTTGAATCCATACCATAGAACTGATGTGTTACATATGCAATCATATACATTTGCATACAGTATAAAAAGGTGGGGTTGAATATGCAAACCTGCGATGAACAAATGTATCATCTAAGACATGATGAGGCGTGTGCAAAGTAGGAAATATAAGCTTGTTGGGTTTGGCAATGGGGGAAATTGCGGTGGCTGGAACAGGAGTTATCAAATGCGACATTGACACACCTTGTTTCAATCTGAAAATGGATGGAATAAATTAAAAAATTAAGTGGAATGAGACTGAGCGGATAGTGTTTGTAGGTCTGGATATCAAAATTCATTGGTCAGGATTCGATAAGGTTTGTCTAATGTGGACCCTTCTCTACCCCTTAAGTATTTAGAATAAGGTGCACAACAACATATATTTCATAAATTTGAACCATATATTATAAAATATTCAAATTCTGGCTCATCAACTTTTTTTTCCCGTCAAATTATCCTCTTAAAATTTTAACCGTTACACATCTCAACCACTGTTAATGAACTTCCCACCTCGATTACCGTCCAAGTTACTTGTGGTGTCGTCAGTTCACCTCCATCCTAAACGTCGTCTTCATCAGCTCCAGTTTCCTCGCGTGCGTCACCGACCTCCATACTTAACACAAATCTCTGAGTTACTGTTGTTTACCTTACCATTATTGAGCTTTACTAAAACTTGGGCATCATTAATGGTTTGTTTAGTTAATAAGCAATCGTTTCTTTGCTTAAATGGAGACCTCTAGTAGTTTGTCCTGTTCAATAATGGCTTCTCTAACTCTTCATGCAGAGCAATATGAAGGCAACAATATGATGCCAGAGGAACACTTCAGCAATGTCAACCATGGGAACATGTATCCTCAGTAAACCAGATAGCTGGCATCATAACAAAGGCCTTGGGATCAAAACAACACAGTTTTTTTTATTTACAGAACTTTTAGAGGTTGCTACAACTCTTGTTATATCATAAATAGGTTAACCTCTTTTGTTTTACACTAGCAAACTCCTTTTGAACTTATCTCAAACAACTTGCTCTTTCTCATTTAAGAGTGGTTGGTTATCTTTACCACCCAACTAAACTATCATGATAAAAACTCCTCTAAATCCATTGCATATGTTTTTATGGGATGTTCTACAACCCAAAAAGGCAATGTTTTATTCAATTTAGATACTAAAACCTTTTTTATCGACAGAGATTCACTTTCATGATGATTTTTTTCCTTTACAGCTTTCTACATCCATTTTCTTCCTTCCCAACCATCAGTTTTAGATTCAGAATTTGTAGTTTATCCTTCTTAATGTCCTGCTTCAACAAGTATATCTTTACAACATGGCCAAGTTTTACCATAACAGCCTGTTCCCATTATTTCAGAATCTTATAACAGAAAATCTTCTAGATTTTTCAGTCTTCTCCTCCAGGTCAGATTCTTTTATCTCCTCGTACTCATTTGCTTCTACACACTCAAGTTTACCTTTTTTTTCCACCTCTCATTATATTGAATCTCAGTACGAAGCCATAAAAAAATACTTTTTGAATTCATGCCATGAAAGAGGAAATTCAAGCTTTGGAATCCAATAATAAATGGATTGTTCTACCTTTACCTTCCAACAAGGTTCCCATTGGCTGCCAAAGGGTATACAAAGTAAAATATTTTGATACATTGCAAAACATCCCAAAAAATTCTTGAAACTCTAGCAATCAAACTGCAAACATGCTGAAATCCTAAACAAAAAAATTAACCCACATAGGTTACAATTCAAGTTCTGGATAAAATTGCAGTAGGAATCAATTATAAACAAAAGCAAGAAATGATCAGACTTCATGCTGCTCCTGATTCAATCCTTCCTCTGAAATCAACCCTCGGCTGTGCTGCATTAAGGGCCTTCAGACGTTCAATCAACTTTGCTTTCCTTTCCTCATACGTTAGCTTCTTCAAGTTGAACCTGCAATGAGATAAACGTTAACATGCTAAGATATCCCTAAGAAAGTTTCCTAGCATCCAACAAGTCTCACGGATTACGAACACAGACCTTTTGTGTTGCTTAGGAGGCTCCTTTTCAGACTTCTTAGCAGTTGGGTCGGATAGTGGCATGAACTTTCTTGTACAAGGCCTCAATGTTATCTGCCTCGATTCTCCTCTTGATATACTCGCTAAAGTGAGACTGATACTTCTCTGGCTCATCTTCCATCAAAGTCTACAAAACATCATATCTGTTTGTAACGATAATATAGCAGCCAAAAAGAAAAGGAAATCAAAAGGTATGATTAATTCATAGAAGAGACGGATACTATTATGGATATAAAAATAAGTTTACCCTCATATATGCGGCAACATGGCCACCATAAATGTAATTCCGGTGAACTTCGGCATCAAGTTGCTTGTTGCCCTTGGAAAACCCAGCAAACCTCTTATCACTATGAGGAATATCCAGACCAGCATCCAATGCTCCCTGTTCAGACAGAAGCAAGTTCTATTAAGTATTAAATCAAAAGTATACAGACAGGCTTCATTAACACAAAAGATCTAATCCTCCCCATTAAATTAAACTCATGGCACAACGAAATTTGGATGCTTGGAATTCATATTAAAACAGCAGAACGTTGAACATAAAGAAGGAAAACTGGTCCAAGCCAATCCGATCATACAAGGATAAATCAAAGAAAGCCATACTTGAAACTACTAATGAGCAACAATACAAAGAAACATCAAACTAGCACAATTTGGGAAATTTATAACAAATGGAATTATTAAGTTGTTTCATGGAAGCTAAGAAGCAGAAAAACCGACCTATATCGTAAAGTCACCTGAACCGTACGACTATAATAAAACAATAGTATTAAAACAGATAAAATTGCAATTAGTTTTTTTATGATACCTTCAGAGCACCAAAAACACGATTTCCAGTGGTGGTCCTGATCAGCCCTACATCAAGGAGAGCACGGAAAGGCCTCCTTGTGTCAGTTGGATCGACTGAGTAATCCTCTCCAGTAGCCTAGTAATAAATAAACTATCAATAACTAAATTGTGTAAAAACATCTTCTTTTAACATAAAATGGTGAAAGAATTGTACTATATACCTCCACATTGCCCTGATATTCTCATCCATTCGAGCATCTGAGGACGCGACGCCCCAAAAGCACCCAGTGCAATAAGCTGTCCAGATTACACAAAAGCATTTAAGAAATTTATTTTATTCGCTTACTCAGAATTCAAGTCATACAATAGCATACCTGCAGCATAGTTCGTAAGACCCACTTCAAGCCCATAACCTGGAAGCTCATGCGAGTAAGCAGAAGCAAGAACCGTATCACCAGCAATATTAGCAGAAACAATCTGCGCAGTAACATCTTTGTTGCCCTAGACAAAAGGTCAAGGATTTAAAAACTTACAGAAGTTCGCAAAATATAAATAACTCAAACAGAGAAACCTCGAATAACCTAAACAAAATATGCTAACCTAATATTAAACATGCATTGGAAGTAAAGAAAGATTTTTCAATCATACGCTTTTCTTGAGATAAAAGTATAATGATAAGAATACAGCTTTCAGGATACGCAGTAACATCTTTGTTGCCCTAGACAAAAGGTCAAGGATTTAAAAACTTACAGAAGTTCGCAAAATATAAATAACTCAAACAGAGAAACCTCGAATAACCTAAACAAAATATGCTAACTTAATATTAAACATGCATTGGAAGTAAAGAAAAGATTTTTCAATCATACGCTTTCTTGAGATAAAAGTATAATGATAAGAATATACAGCTTTCAGGATACAAATCGGACAACAAAATGGTACTTCGGGGTGTTGTACTTGTTCTTATCTTGATTGATCAGGCGAATCCTAGCCCGGTAGTCAGTCTTTCCCTCTACAATTAATAAATTCAGTAAATAAGAAAATCACTGAAAAACCAGAAGCTCAAATTGCAAAACCATATTGCATTTCTTATAGAAACACACACACTGAGCGAGAATATAATCATAAATATATAAAGACCTCTCCTTCTCTTGAAAGGAACCTGAAACCGCTTAAAGTAAGCCTTCGTTTTTTGAGCCTTGACAAATCCCTACAATGATCAAAGAGACCATCCTATATCATTATTTTAACAAAACACATGAGAAACAATGGCGTTAAAAACATATGATACTTCAGTATTACAATCATCATTCTCATAAAACACCATAATAAAATAGTAATATTGCAAAATATTCGGTTGAAATTTGAATTTAAAAAAGTCTGTTTCAATGGCGTTAAAAATGGAGGTTTGAGAAGCACAAGTGAAACACTTAATTCTATTCAGTGACATTAAAAATAGAGATTTGAGAAGCAACGATCTGACTCTGTTAGCAAAAAACGTGGGTGCTCAGTCACAAGATACTGATTTGTAGAACATTAAGAAATTAAGCTTAAAACAAACATTAAGATGAATCTAAAAAATAATTAAAAATCAGTACGAGCAAATAAAAATTAAACTCTTAAAACGAAATGTAGAGGAGCTTAAAACGAAATTACTACGGAATTGACTCTTACAAAAATTAAATTCAAGTAAAAAGGGAAGAAACATACCTGAATAAGCTTGAGATTGAAGACAAGAGGTTTGAAAGAAAAAAATTGCATAAATTCATCCTAATATTTGGTTAAATTACAAGTTATATCTTATACAATATTAGGATTTATAAATTAGCTCTTAAAATTACACCTAAATTCATAATGGTCCAAAATTTAATGGATATTTAGTTGGGCGGGAGGATGTGGGGCGGGCGGATGCGGGGCGGTGGATGCGGTGCGGATGCGGGGCGGGTAAGGTCTCAAACCCATTATCCGCCCACTACCCGCGACGGGTACCATTTTCTAAATCCACATCCGCCCACCCACTAAAATTATACCCATCCCCGCCCCAATTGAAGCGGGTGCGGTGCGGAATCCATGAAATTATACCCGCTTGCCATCCCTAGTACTATGATGTATAGGGATCGTAACGGGTCGGGTTCGGGTCGAGTATTGGTTCTCCGTCACCGTTTAAAAAATCTGTATTTGTCTTCGTTTAAAAAATCGCGGGGATTTAAACGGGGATCTCTATAGGGTAATCGGGGAAAACCGCGGAAAAAACGGGTATCCCCATTTATCATAAACAGTTATTTAATAGGTATCGGGCCGAATATATATTTAAATTAAATATATAAAAATTATATATATTTTTTAATTTAAATTAAATTTATTAATAATATATAAATAAAATAATTATTTTTAATATTTATCGGGCCGGGTAATCGGATAATCGGGGCGGGAATTACTAAATCCGTCCCGTCCCCGTTTAACATAAACGATTTTTCCCGTCCCAGTTTAACATAAACGATTTTTCCCCGTTTCCGTTTAATTCAGTTTTCGATTTTTCCCGTTCGATTCGAGTTTTTTTGCTATCCCTAATGATGTAGTGTGGATCAACGGCTAATATCACTTAAAGGGCTTTCTCTAGGGTTTTATTTGGTGTATAGCGGTATAAATAATTTTAGGGTTACTTAATGAGCAAAATTATACTAAAATCAACATTTTTAATTTGATTTCACGTTAATTTTACGATCCTAAAAGTCCCCAAGAATTCAACATTGAATTCAGAATAGTGGGTCTCGGTCATTATGCAACTCAAACATTTTTTTTATTAATTTATTATGATTAAATGAGTATAATACAATATTTGTTTAATTTTTTTAATTATTTGATAATTAACGTTAATATACTTTATAAATATTTGGCTCGAATTTAAAATTTTAAAGGATAACAATTATTTTTTAACCACTAAAATTATAACATCTCGAATATTATATGTATCAATATGCTAATCAATGGTAAGTAATATTGACCACTATTTATGAAATGTATCAATAGTACGTAAAACATTACGTTGAAAATTAATTAATTAAATGATATTAATTTTATTTACAATAATTTATAAATTATCATTTGATGAATAGACTATAATAAATTAAGTCTTGTAACTTAATTTTTGAATTAAAGTTGCATCCATCGACTTATACCTATTAGTTTTTCAATAAATTCTTTATCAAGTGATCTTAACTTTTCATTAAAAGATCGTAAACCTTCAATTTTATGTCTCGTCACTATAAATTGGTTAGTTGAGACTCAAATTTAAATATAACCTATAAATTTGAAAAAAAAATACATAGAAATTCTTTTCAAATTCATTTTCTTGTGATAGATAAAGATAAAGTTAAGTTCAATTGATCATTATTGTTATATTTACTCTTATGATCACTCAGGGACGAAGCTAGACAATTTATTTTGATGTGCTAAATTTAGAAGTTATATGAGTTATTTTAAGTAGACAAAA